CAGAGGAACTTGGTGGCGACGGTAGCAACCTTACCGTCCCAGCGGTAGGTGGGTACCGTTTCGACGGTACCTAGCTGTGGAAGACTTGTCGTGCGGTCCAAAATAAATAAAAAATTTATAAAATATCCTTAAATAACACCCAAGATATAATCAAATAAAAACTATATCTAGGGCAAGTTTGGGTCGATCCCACGGAGAAAGTTTGTACTTTTGAAATCAAATTAGCATGCAAACACGTTGTCACTAAAAAAAACTACTACACATGATAGAATTTATAGTAAAACTTATAACTAAATAAATATAAAAACTTATAAATATAACTTATATAAACAGAGAACTTATAATATAACTTAAACATAACAAAGGGGGGGATTTGAATAAAAAGTAAATATTTTTTTTATATTTTCTTATTTTTTTGGTTTTTTTTGATAAAATGGGGGAAAACAAGCTCAAAAAGATAATCAACTACTCCAAAAAAGGTAACCCAAAAAACACCGCCAAGAACCCGAAACAAAATGAAAAAGAGAACAAACACAAGTCAAACATTACACATATTTTAGGCACGTAGACAATATATTACGTAACTTACGCACTTAAGAATAGAGAAATCAATCAAAGGCCGAGTCGATTCATTTCCTGAACCACGGTATGGAGGATTGTCAACTCTCCACATGGCCCGGAGTTGTGTAATTCAAGAATTTCATAATGAGACAAATCAAGAACCACAACTCACCAATCAAGCTTGAAAACATACTTCCACTATAGAAAAAGTTTATAAAAGAGCAAATTTTTTTCATTCTAACTCTCATGCATAATCTATTCACAAACCGCCAATACCTTATGCATTTTATTAAACCTTTTCTCCTAATGAAGAGCACATTTCACAGATTTCCATTAACTTCTCAAACCAATGACGTTTTTTCTATTCACAGAGAAGAACACAACGTATTTTCAATAAATTGAGAATTGTTTTTGAGCTTAAACAACCTCAACTTATTGAAAATAACAAACAAGCATACGAAATTATAACAAAATCACTCCATAACGAATTCTAAGAAAAATGAATCAACTTATGGGGCTAAGTAATCCAAAATTCTTAAAATCAACAAACACAAATAACAACAAAGAATCACGTATGAATTCGGAGTTCATTTAACTATCTTATGGAGCTAAAATAGCTTCAACAAAAACTGAATTCCACTTACCAACCTACTTATGAAATTGAATTAAGAATCCAACCAATTTAACATCAACTTGCTCAATAATTGAAGAAAACTAGCTTGAATCAATTCTCATTCATAAGGGATATAATATAAACATTAAAAAAACCCATAAAAAAAGAACACCAACCATATTTTGGAATTTTTGGAACAAACTAACAAACAAAAAAGGTAAAATTGAATAAAAAACAAAAAAGGTAAAATTGAATAAAAAACAAACTTTTACATAGAATTGGAGGAAAAGAAAAAATTGACAAATAAGGGTTATCAATTTGTTGGAAGAAGATGAACAAATTAAGGAATTGGAGCTATGATGGTGGCTGCCGACCGCTCACTGGAACTTCTGCGACTGCCAATTTGCGTCTGCCGGCAATCCGCCACCGCCGCCGCGGCTAGGCCGCGGCTCTCTGGTCGTTCTCTCCTATGTTTCCCCCTTGCAATTGTTGCGATTTGCCTTCAATTTATAGTCCAAACCTTTCTTCCCGTTAGAGTGTAAATGGGGAGCGAATTTCAGGGAGATACGTTGCAGCATTTATGCGTTCTACGGTCGCCGAAGAAGAAGAAGAAGTCGAAGACTTCAATTCTCCTTTTTTTCCTCGCCGTGCGTGAAATCAATTTGGGGGAGAGATTTGCGCTGGGCTGATTCTTTAGTGTTGGTTTGGGCTCCAGTCCAAATTCAATCTCTTCTTTTCAAACATGAATTCCATTTTGGTATTTTGCTACAATTTTCTCCAAAGATATCTGATAACTTGGGTTAGCAAAAATAAAAATAAGAATAATATAATGTAAAAAGTGATTAAAAACTACTAATTTTGAAAAAAAATAAAAGATTGCAAAAATAGAAATTATAATAAAACTATGCTAAACAACTAAAAATTAAACTCTAAAATATTAAAAATGCCTAAAATTGAATAAAAAGAACCAAACCAGACTCGACTTATCACTAGCTACCGTTCCGGCGGTAGTTTATTACCGTGCACTGTTCATCGTCTTCTTCCTCAGGTCCATTTTCGGGAATTTCATTTTTAATCATCAAACTTCGATTAAACTATATAGAAATGTTCTCCAATGTTCATAGATCACTTGGGTATCATTAGTTCGTAGTTTTAGCCACAATTTCAAGGTTTATAATGCTTGGTTCTTCAAACATGTTAAACACAAAACTCAACCAAACGACCGTTTATGAACGTGGAAACGATCTATATGAACATTCTTGTAACACCCTAATCCGTCCAGGTGTGCAGCCCCTTTCGGACTAAAGTATTTAACTTGGTAATCGTAAAAATTTAAAACTTTTCAAACACACTTTATTAATCCAAATAACATTTTTCATAACATATACAGTACGGAGTATTCAACAATATTGCGGAAGCGAATTTAATATTGACATATCATAAATAATTTCAAACTTGTCACATCCATCCCGACAATCTCGCCCCATCTGCCGCCAGGATCACATTGTTCTTTCTGTTTACCTGCGTGTAGCAAATAAAACACACTACACGCTCAGCGGTAAAGCTGAGTAAGCAGGTCTAATGCGTCGAAAAACCATGTAAACTGAATCTAAATTCATAATCAATTCATTTGATATCATGCACACAATGTTCATTTCTAACATTCACAGTTTTGGTATTGTTCAGTTCATATCAACACATTTTATTCAATTCAGATATTATTTCAATAGTGCTCTTAAATTATTCTTAATCTAAGGACAGATCATAACAACGCTCTTAGCTATTCTTAGTCTAAGGCCAGATCATAATAATGCTCTTAGCTATTCTTAGTCTAAGGCCAAATCATAATTTCCATAACGAGACTCTTAAAAAGGCAATTATTAATCAGACACTTAAACTATCATTACTTTAAGGCAAATGATTTCGAACACTTAACTGTAGTCAGTTAAGGCAATTAATAATCATACACTTAAACTATCATTAGTTTAAGTCAAATGATTTTAGACACTTATTAACTGTAGTTAATTAAGGCAACAACAATATAGCGATTGATCAATGTTGAATCGGGTCATTCCCAAACGAGTGATCCTCTTGTTTGGTCTACGAATCTCGTTTATGCATTTTTATCTAATTGATCAAATATTCATGTTTTCATAAGTCCATTCTAATACGAAATTTATTCTAGAGGCCTTGCGGGTATAATTATGAGTATTCGGTGGCCTGGGTTAAAACGTACGTACGGGATCCATAACCAAACTAGAGGAACTCGTTTGGGGATGCCACCCAACCCGACAGTCAGTATCCTACTGTTCGGTTTTCTAGATTTGCACCTTAAGCAAAGGCTAGTTTAAGAGTTGGTAAATCAATCGGAATATATGTACCTTAAACTAATGACCTAGCTTAAGAGTTGGATAGAGGTACCTTAAACTAGAACTAGTTTAAGAGTTGGTAAACATCAAATAAATTGGCCTTAGACTAAGAATAGTTTAAGGATATTATTGAATGAGGATGTTGAATGTTGAATATGAATATTGAATGACGAATGTTGAATATTGATTATTGTATATTTGAACTGAATACTCTGTGCATGATATCAAATGATTTGATTATGAATTTGGATTCAATTTATGTGGATGTTCGACGCTTTAGATATGCTTACTCAGCTTCACCGCTGAGCGTGTAGTGTGTTTTATTTGCTACACGCAGGTAGGCAGAACGAGTA